AACATAATTACAATATAATTTTTATTAACAAAAATAAAACAGATTTTTTTTATATATGTTAAATAAAATATGAAAAAATAAATATGAAAAAAAACATTGTAGTGAAAATATATGAATACGATGCTCATATATTGACTACATTATAAAACTTTGAAAATCTCATTATGAAAAGAATATTTACTTTTATCAGTAATATAGTAACAAATGTTGATATAAGAATTTGAATTTTTCAATAATTATGCATTCGCGATGATTTGTTATATCATCGCGAATGCATAATTATTGAAAAATTCAAATTCTTGAATAAATTCTTGAATTTTGAAGTAACTTTGTTAATATAACCATGTGAGATTTTATCTAACAAGCATTTAATATCAATCGATAAAACTTTTAACAACGAGAGTTAACGATGTCAATTTCAAGCCAGAATTGAAGCTTTGTCGATATTCCTTTAAGGCCCCAAGGCAATACGATGAAAGCCACCTTATTTCACCAAATATCCTTCACGTCCCTTGTTATTGGAGAATGGTTCCCTAAATTTATATACGAGCGCAAAAAGTTCACATAACGATTCGGGTTAAATTACATATAAACGCGCGGGAAACTGAACGTATAAAATTTACAATATCGATATGTACATTTGATGCCGCTCGATATTTAATTTGTTTGCGAAATTCACAAAAAATATATATATGTATATTCCCTGCATGCGAATGAAATAGAATCAGTGTACATTTTCACTCCACTTACAGCGTGAAAATCCTTTGTAGTACAAATCGAAGGATGAAAACTGACGCGATAAACAGATGCGTGTGTGCGTACGATGATATACATGCTTTGACAAGCATCGACAAATGGAAAGGCCACAAGTCGGACGGATTAATACGAAGAGTTCTCTCGGTTTGAAACGGGTGCACTTTAACATGCCACTCCATCGATCCTATGTCCAGCGTCCAGCTCCACTCGACTAGGGTACGGAAAATGTTTTTAGCCCGTGTAATGGTGGTTGGAACGATGTTGATCGAAAGGGCTTATCAGCTCTGCGAAGGGCTGCATGACAAACTAATGAAATGCTTCTCTATCTTCGCTCGTACGCAGACAAAGAGTATCCCCACATTAATTATTAAAGCGTGTGTTACTAAAGTTATATTATTATATAAATATATATAATATTTTTACTTTTATATAAAATATATTACTTAAAATTTTATTTAATACTGCATTGCGACTGTCCAATAAAGTAAAGCTAGTGCTGAAAAGGCTCTATCCTCTTTATTATCGCAAAAAGGCTTACAGTATCTCGAAAAAAAGAGAACACGATAATTTCCTTTACAATATAACTTCTTTCATAATTGATTTTTCTACGGGTTATTGTACCATTTATGTTATACTCGCCATATCACAAAAAAGCTTTGCCCTAGATTTTAATATCACATTTCTCTTTTCTTTTGTAGTTCGCGTCATATGTGAATGAAAAAATGCGATGTATTTTTAAAGATACATCATATTTTATACAACAAATCGCAAATTATCTAATTATTAATTGAAGACATCGTTAATTAAAATTTATATGTTATATATCTTTCAACACTTGATGAAAAACGATGTGGACTTGGTTTAAAGTTATGATAAAGTTATATCTAAATAGAACATGATCGAAAGATGAGGTAGAGGATAGAATTATGTAGTCTCCATGTTAATTAAAAACTGCAAAATGTAATACACGCTTTGTTGCATCTTTACAATATTAATATAACTTTATTACTCAATATGGATACTAAAACTTTCACTACTGAAAGTTCCTACAAATTCAAGTTAATACCCTTGAGTAGATATAACTAATCCAGCAATTACTTAATAATGCATGAGACAGGAAAGTTGCAATGCATGAATATACGTATATGAATCATAGTGATATTAAGTGTGTTTGGATTGACATAATTTTCAGACATATATTTAAAAATTGAATGTAATAATAGGAAAGTCCACATGGTAATGTGAAATTTAATCTTTGTGTGTGCACAGGTAGCCAATTAAGAATTATTACCAATTATTACCAGGCTGTCCAAATATTGAGTTGAAGTTTGTTGAGTCGTGATACACGTGTATCTCATTAAAATTTAGTATGAAGATATTATGTTCGATCCAGAAAATATAAAATAATCTATATATAATAATATTTATAATGAGTTTTTTTTTTAAATACAAAAATTATTTTTTAATATAATTTTTACTTTATTTTTATAATATTTTATTATTTTTATAATATTTGCTGGCATAAGCATGTATTTAAAAAATTACATTGTATAAATATCTATTTTTTTGTCACACATATATCTGTGCTATAAAAATATGATATTTATAATTATAATTTGAATATATTTTTTAAGTATAATACATTTTTTAATAAAAGCTATATGTATATTGCAAATTTTCTCTTAAATTATTTATGAATAATTTTGACAATAAATTATGTTTTCATGGAAATCTTCCATATATATTTTAGCTTTGGCTGACAACCAAGACGCGTGCGTTGAATGCTCCAATGCTCATACAAACTAACTTCTATACTATAATTAGAAATATCATTTTGATTAAGAACGTGATATTCATCAGCGTCACGGAAGTTGTCATATCTTGTTAAGTTTATAGACGCACCTAACTAATTTAATTTTTAGAAATCATATATCATTGTACAGAGACTTTTACAATTGATGAAAAGTAAACGCACAGTGTTGTTCTAGTTTCCTAAGAAATTCTATTCTGCTTTCAACAGATAAAAGCGAACCAAACATCTCTAAATGAAGATATATAATACCTTCAGAAACTTTGAATTTCAAAATAAACAGAAAATTTCGGATCTTTTTCGTTTGTAATTTTATCTAAAGCTTTTCATTCTTATCAACACTTGCTTTTTTTTTTTTTGTAAAACCATTAGAATATTTTACTGAAAATAGGAAAACGATACTTTAGCAGCAAACAATCGATAATAGCGTGTCTTCTGTGGTGTGATTTTCTTTAATAGTGTTACACATAACAAAGCGTATCGATTGAATTTTCAATTCACATTACAGACATTGCATGGGTATTCTATTTAAAGGAAATCTATTTAAAAATTTATTCGATAATGCCTAAGTAATGACTAATGTGGTTGAGATGTACGATGGACACGAGACAGTGATAGATATCATCAATATAGACCTACGTGTCAGACGCATTTGTGTTTCACAGCTCTCGCTGCAAATATTCCTGCGAATACCGCAGTGAAATCGATGGCGACGGTTCGCAGGAACCGTCGAAGTAAACGCATCAGAAGTAAGAGGAGACATAGAAGTAAAGAAAGTAGGGCAACAGAGCAAACACCTGACGAAATAGATATAAGAAATCTTGAAATTGAACGCTTTCGAAGTTGAAAAGATGTGAATTATAGTTTTCAGAACTCTCTTCCGTTCACTTTTCAAAGTCTTCTTAGTCATTTTTTTTTCATTTGTAATCTGCACCAACGCCTTTAATTCCACGCACGTAGGACATTACAGTCCGCTCACGATTTGCGCGAAAAAGTTATTTAACTTGGAAAAGTTGTCTAACGAAGCCAGCGAAATAACGCGTTAGAGAAATTTATATTCATATATTCCAGCTATAATTTTATTTATGCATTATTTATATTTTATTTATATATGTATATTAAGATATAAAGTATCAATTTCATTGAAAAAATTAAGGGGCCAAGAGCAAACAAAGAAAAAATTACTTTTTTTTAATTATTTGATACTCATATTTATATATTTTGTATGAAATATATTATTTTTGAAAAAATTTAAATCTTTCTTCGTTATGTTAAGAATTAATGATACATTCCGAAGGCAATTTCTTACTTCGCGATAAAATGTAAAAGAGAAATACGCTTTCCTTTGCACTCTGGAATGAATTCTTATGTTTTTTTATTATTTATCTCTTTCTCGTTTTTTTCTCGCTTTTTCTTGAAATCAGTTTTTTTTCACACATCTGCGTTCACCTAAAAATAACCGATCTCTCCTAAAGAACCGATTCAGCGCTTTTGAAATGGGATACACTCCCCTGAGAATTTGAATCCACTTCGTTTTATCCTATTTCGTTAAATCCAGCAGCGAAAATATGTGTCACGCAATACATGCGTTATTTATAGAAAAAATCAAGTTTAAAATTCAATTTTTATGATAAAAAAGTACTTACATTAAACATAAAGTTGCTTATAAAATGTTAAGAATTTGCAATATTTTTTTGATATTATGGGTACATTTTTATATTGAACTTCCTTTCCATCATCCAATATTGCATTTTCGTGTTCTGAAATGAATATGCGTGTGCTTTCTGAACAGAGATATCTCGGCTAATATGTTTTCGAACATTTATATGTATAAAAAAAAAATAAAACGATGCATCATAAGTGAAAAAATATTTTTCAACAAATTTTTCCGAAAAATACATAAATGAAAAATAGTAATTTATAAAATAAAAATTTATGTATATGTAAATTATAGTTTAATATATCATATACATTTACCGATTTATCTTCTATTATATTCTTGCGATATACAAAAATAAAACATCTTTTTAACATATCTAAATATATTTTTATTGCATAATTAATAAGCTCTTCTGCGAGATCAATAAACACTCGTTGAATATTTTAATTATATTAAAGCAAACCATCGACCTTGTTAATGTATATTTTTATATTGATGTTTATCTATAAATTATTATTATGTTTTATCGGATAATCGATGAGCTATAGAGTTGAGACCATTAAGAGACTATGAAATAATGGTGAACTTGCCTGATTATAGGCTTCGTTAAACGGAATAATTGAAAGCCACGTTCAATCCACATATGTTTATAATGACTTTATTGGACTTTAATAATGTCTTTTCTACAATCATCATATTTATATTCAGAAATATCATATAATATCATATAATTATCACATAATAAACAAGAAAAACTACTATTGCGTGTTTCAGGAAACGTGGTGCAGACGATGGTGGCACATTTCACAAAGGAGTCTGTCCCTATCGGCCAATTCTTATTCGCCAAGGTTAAGTCCGCTTCTGATGAAGCAACTGAAAGAGCCTAAACCCACGGAAAAACAAGAAACCACGAAAAAAACTGCAAGAGCTACGTCAGAGGATTTTGAAAGTTCCGGTAAGTTATATATTGTCTTAAAAAAATAAATAAACAAGCAGAGTATATCTTATTTTATAATAAGATATAATTTTATAGAAAATTATATTTTTTCTCTATATTGCCATGTCTCCAGCATTTCTATAAAACTGTAAAATTTTAATGTTTAATATAAAAATGATAACTTTAAAATTTATCGTCACAGATGTGACTTGAAGAATGTATTTCTCAAGAATTTTCGAGAAACTACTCTTACTGAAGTGTACAAATTTATGATATAATTTACTGAAATGTTTAATGTTTAATGCGTGTGAAATTGCTCCGAACTTTGCATAACATTTGTATGCACTTTTACGTTTGCAAATATATGTGCAGATTTAAAAATGTTTAATAATACTAGAACGTTCGAAGCATCAATTTTTGCTGTACGATACGTAAATAATCTTTTTATTATATTACGTATAACGTATATGATTAAAATAAAATCGTATTCCGAATAATCGAACATAAAGGTTCCAGGGAAATATATATATATTTTATTATGCGATAGTTACGTGTCGCTTAATAGCATTTACTCGAAATAGCCGCGAGTCTCTCAACTCCGCGAAATAAAGGGATACCAAATAGAAATTGAGTTCTTTGAGACACAAGCATGAAACAGTTCCGTGTAATGATCCTCTCTAAGTCCAACGAAAGAGCATCTATCTACGAGAAGATCGCTTTTGTACACGTCACAGTCTACAAAGCTTACAATGTACATTTTACAACACTACCTGGTCTGCAATGGCTGTAAGGCTTAATTCACACTGCACCCTTTGTGACAATTCTTGCATACATTTACATGACTGTATTACATCTATTCTAAAATAGATCAATAATTGCGTAACTTCTAATGAACAAACTAGGGCGCTTAAATATTGCTTTAACATTATTACTATATACTTGTGCCTGTTAGAATATTACATTTTGATTGAATTTTTGCGGGCTTTTTATTACTGTCTCATTATTCTTATGCATACACACACACACACATATATATATATATATATATATATATATATAATGTGTTATTATTTTTTATTTATAATCACGAGATAATTTTATTCTATGCAAATTACTGTGAATCCGCCTTAAACATTTCTCTCAGACTGCATAATGGGTTTTGCTTGCCAAGACTTCCTTTGAAATTTACGACAGTTGAATCTTCAAAATAATCGATAAAATCAACTGCGCTCTGAAAATATATAAAGCCGAAAATAATGTCGCGTCTTGTCATGTGCACCTTTAACATATCATTTAATTCGAGACTTGCATTTTCTAATATGTACTATGTATTCGAGCCAGTTTTCGTGACTCTGTTATTCATTCTATTTCAAGCTATGCGTGATAGTTTGAATACAGATAAAACGTAATTATATTTTTTTAAACAACATCTTACTTTTGCTACATAATAATATAAAAACTGAAAATTTAATTTTAATAATATTGAAGAAAAAATAGGGGAAATAGTCACTATATAATTTTGGAATTTACAAAAAGATAGACGATAATTATAATTAAAAGTACACATATTATATACATTATTTATTACACATTTAATACACTCGAACATTGATTGTTTGTCTATACTTTGTATAGTACATATGATATTACATTAAAACTTTTGTACGTGTATTATAACTTATTTTTAACTCTCTCTACATAAACTTCTATAAAATATGACTCGTGTGGACTTATCCACTTGCGATAATAGATTAATGAATGCATCAACTTGAATGATAAATTAGCTTGACTATAAATGTTTTTTTGCAGCATTTTTATTATTTGCTACCAGAAACATTTCTTAATATATTCTACGAAAGGTAGGTGCTTTTGTTAACAATGTTTAACTTTATTTCAACTTTTTTCAACAACATATTTATTCCTGTACGATTGGAAATTACTTTTTCATAAACTTACATATTCTTACAAAAAATTATTTTCATTAACGCGTAATGAAATTTCACTTAATTTTATTAAGAATAATAACACTTATTTATTTCCTTTGGCAATCCTCGTTTATCCTCGCAATCGCGTATTAAAAAAATAAATATACCATACAAGAAACCTCTCGTTCAGGATGCTTGCGCGCATCGATTCTGTCCGTCGATTCCATTGAGACTATCCTCGAGCACCTCAAATTCCTCAAACTCCATTTTGCCGAAGTCATTGTCGACTCTCCAGCTCGTGTTCACTTCCCATCTCGTTAACGCGCTCGGCATAAATTTGCTCGGATAATTGGATCCCAAGTCATCTAGATCGCCCAGTTTGAACTCGGCTTTAAACGTCCTCCTCGTCTCCTTGGACTCTTCTCTCTTCGGCTCCAAACCGATCACCACCGGCGGTTCTCTCTTCATTTGCGCGACTTGCTCGACACCCTCATCTCTCTGCTCCTCGTTTTCTCGTCTACTGTCGATCGTCGTGATCTCGATGCTGGGTGTCTCCGCGATGGTGCATTGTCTGAGATTAGCGCTTTTGTCGCAGCTGCGGCGTCTCTCGATAAGTCTGCCCGTTAGCTCCAGTCTACTGTCGCACGAGTTGCTCTTCACCAACTTGAACTTGACGTAATCGTTCGACTCGTCGACCCGCTTGAAGCCATTGCCGATCAACGGCGATATCAACGGTCCGTTGTGCATGTTCACTACTTTCCCGCCGTAGTAAGTTACCGAAGTGCCATATTCGCGGATCTTCTTCAGTACGTCTTGCGACACGTAGTGCCCCGGAGCATTCGCGGACGCGTCATCATCGTTACAATTCATCTCATCATCGTCAGATGATGTGCAATGAGCGCCACTTCCGGGATCGGTGTCGAGATAATCGCTGGACACGCCAGAACTCACGCTACCGGTATCCCAGTTTTGGTGCTGGTGATGATGATGGTAGCGGCTGACTTTATTTTTAGAACAGTTCGAACCGCTTGGCGATGTATTTCCGCTGCGAGCTTCGAAACTTTGTGCGAGAATCCGCGTCTTTGATTCGCTCCGTGGACTCCCAGGTGCTTCCTTGACAACAGAGGCAGTCGATGACGCGGACTTGGTCTCGAAGAGTCTTGTGAGATCTTTCGCCCTACTGGAACATCTGGATCTGAACATAGTACATTGAAATTATATATGCTATACAACTATTTACAAGTGATCGAGGGGTGTGCAAAAAGATTTTGAAAATTTCAGTCACATCAGAGTTTCAGAATGAACTTACTTTTAATTAATGTCTACTTGACAAAACTTTAATGAAATTCTGGAAACATTATTATCTTAGTCGCGAATAAATTGAATCGAATAGACGTGAATGGTCCAATATAAACTTGGTCGCAATTTGCAATTCCATGAAACCAAACGTTATCTCAAGCTACCTTGAACCATATCTAGACTACTGACGTCTCTTGGGTAATTTACGATTCGTTTCGATAAAAATAATCTGCCTTAAAATATGCTTGTCAAAACACACGTGTGTCTCCAACGTGAATAATAAAAAGTTTCGTTGCCGATGCCGTTGAATATTATACTACCTGGACTCTTCGCGTGCCTTGTCGGACATTTCGTCATATCGACTGTCATCGAGGCTAGTCAAATCTTTCATGCTAACGCTCCTCCTATTCTTGCAGTCCCTAGAGAATTCGGCGTCGGACGCGCTCTTCTTTTTCTGGAGAGTATTCTCGAACATACGCCTTACATTTTTCACCGTATCCGGATCTGGCAGCTCCTCATCAATTAATTCGCGATTCACTCGTATAGGGTGGTAGAAGAAGTGTTTCCTGATGGACGATTGTCTGGAACTTTTCCCGGTGCCGCTGCTTCCGGACTGTTCATCATTCCTCTCGCGATTCTCCTTCTTCTGAATCGCACCGGCGATCTTGCACGTGGGTTCCGTTCTGGTCAACGTCGACGATTTTCTTTCCACCGGCTCGGCGCGAACCGGCTCGATGATTACGACGTTGTTGTCCATCAGCAATTCCTGGAACGAGTATTCGCGCAGGTACTGCATCAGTCCTTCGTACGTGACGTCACCCCTAGCGGTGTTGAACATGTTCTTGCTGAACATATGCGACTTGACGATCTTGTAGCGCACGTGATCGAATTCAGCGCCATCGTCCTGGCATTCTATCGAGTCCACGCAGCTTCTGGACCTGATCAGATTAGTGTGAGACTTTTTACCGTTACCGATTTTCCCGCCAGAATTCTCGACGTTCCTGGACCGATCGTCTTCAGCGTCGTCGTCCATCGATCGTCTGCGGGAGTCGCTTCCGGATTCGGAACCCAGACCGAGATCGGAGCTTTCCGATCTCGCTTCAAAGCCCAAACTACCCTTTACAACGCTGCACGCCTTGCCGAGAATATTAGACGTTTCCTTCACAATCCTCTCGAATCTCCCCCCGTTCTGTTTATTTCGCGTCGCTTCCTTCTCGGTCCTTTTCCGCTCGAAGAAATTTCTCGCGTCTTCCAACGTTGCCGCATTTTCCAGTATCCGGGTTGGAGCATCCTGTAAAATTAATTTGTCGATTTAACGCGCCTTCGCTTCCGACGGACGTCGAAATAGTCAACTTTTTATTGATAATTAATTTTTAACGGAAAACGGTAAAAAAATAAAGTGGAATTAAAGTGCAAAGAGTAAAGCGCATTAGAAATCGCTTGACGGAAATCGAATATTTAATATCGGATAAAATTCTTATGAAAATATACATGTTAAAGTCGTAGCACGAAGTCGGAGAAACTACTCAAAATTCCAATGTGCACGTACAATGTGCGTGCAGGGAATTCAGAATCTCTTTCGCGCACTCTTTTTGAACAGCTTTTGCTTTTGAAATACTTTATAAGAAAAGTGTATTCATACTTTTGCAGTATATTTCTTTTTTACAACATGTTATTCTTATAGTTGGAGATCAAAGTTTTGAAAAAAAACTTTTAATGCCGTAGCCAATTACCGAACTTATTGAGCTAAAAGATAATTTCTCTCTTCTCTTTCTCATCAATACAAATACTTCACTTCGTGTCTCATACTAACCTTTCCGTTTTTTCCTTCGTTCTCCTTGTTCACATTATTACTCGAATTAATCACGGAGACATCGATACGCTCGTTCGCTTCTTTCGCAATGTTCTGCGATATTTTATCCTTCGGTACGTCCTCGACGATGGCATCAATTTCCACGACGGAACGTCGATGGCGTCTCTTGGTGACGTCATTATCGACGACTTTGAGTATCTGCGGTCTTCTTGACATCTTGTGATGGTCCTCGTTCGAGATCCAGATCGACTTATAATCCTCCACCTCCTCGAGCTTGCGATCCTCTTCGCAGGAGGTCACGAGATCATCGACATCGGCCTTCGTCTGATTCTGATCAGTCGAGGATAAAAGAATGTGCTGATCTACGAATTTGTTCGTCGAGCTAATCTGCGAATTTTTTCCGTGTCTTTCGTCAGATTTTCGACGCTCTCGTTTTACTAAATCTCGTCGGCTCGATTCTTTGGACAAATTGAGATCGCGGTCTCTCTTCTCCGAACTATTGGTTAAAGCGGGATTATCCTCGTTCACTGTGTTCTCTTTACATTTCTCCTCGTCCGTGGCGTTGCTGCCTCTCGTCGGCGAAGCCTCGCTGCTCGACTCGTACTCAAGTATTCTTAAATCCCGCGAACCGTGCAGCTGTTCCGTCTTTCGCGTCAAATTATCGTCTTTCGACAAATCTGCTTCGTCGTATCCCAGCCGTATGTTGGAAAGAGGCAGTAAATTCAACACGTCGAAATATTCCAGCTCCGCGTCGTCCTCGAAGAGAATGCTGTCTAAACTCCTGTGCTCTTTACGTTTGCGCTTCACCTGAATACGAAAGCACATCTAAACGCGTTCTTTTCAGAGATTTTCTTTTATAGGAAACTCTACAGTCGACCTCTCGTTTACAAAACGACTAATTTTCGAAATATACATTTCTTGTACTAAAAGTATTTTTAGGAGAAATGCAATAATGACATACCTTGAAATTAATTAATGAAATAATTAATTTCTGATTCAATTTACTAATTTTTTAATCAAAAATAATTTTTATAATTCGATTATTAATTCAGAGTTTTACGAAATTCGTGAAAAAATTCTTGCTTAATTTATACAGAATTGTGTGATGTCTGATACCTAGTTGAAATTTAATTAAGCTATTGCGAAAGGTAACGACGATAGGAAACTCGACCAGGACATAATGATCTGTATCGTTTTAATTAAAGTTTGGCAACAAACTTCTTAATCTTGCTACTACATCGAGAAATTCTGGCACTATTCTCAAAGGCACTACATCATTGTAACAAGTGAACTCTGATCATAATAATAATTACGTCAGTCTCTAATCCCTAATATATTACACATATACAGCCTTACATTACAAATTAGGTTATGAACATACACTATATAGAATTCATTATAAACTAATTTAATTACACACGATCGATTTATTACTTCCGACGTAAGCAACGACAACAAAGCCAATTTTGATTAAATAATTTATTATTCCACTCGACATAACGAAAATGCGAATGAAAAATCATTATTATTCCATACGAAACAAATTATACAAATAATATTACATTTGATATTTCAGTCTCGATATTTTATTGAGAAGAAAAATTTATTTATGCATCTACCTATTTAAATATTTTAAAAATATTTCACCTGCGTATATATACAATCGATACTCCGATTGCCTTCAATGGGCCAAGTATCCTCGACGATATCGATCAATCCGCTTACGGTATCCAAATTCTGCACGCTGCAATAGCGTCTTGGAGGATCCGGCCAATCGAGAATATTTAGTCGATCAGGATTGGCACGATTTCCTCGGACATAAGGTAGCGGATCTGGAAGTGATGCGAGACCGGGTGGAATTGAGTGAAGGCCGCACGTCGATCGCGAATAATATGGTTTTGCCTCGTTGAATCTCTCGTAAGAATCTGAAAGATGCTGCTGACTCTTAGAAAGTCTGAAATAAGAAAAATGCAGAATATCTTAAATCTGATTAATAATCGTGAAATAAAATTTGCATTCGTAAAGCTGGAAGACTTTTGTAAAATATGAATAGCAAAAAAAATTCATGAAAAAGAATTACGGAAATAAATGTAATGACTTTAATAACTCATTGGGGATTCGTACGTTGCATAATATCATTGGCTGATAAAAAATTATTAAAAAAAGGATATTAAACAAAATGAAATGTAGAAAATATATTTAAAATGTGATCAATTGTGCTGTGTCTTTTTACATTAATTTTTTTACATTTAATTTTATTTTATTATACATACTCTATATAAATTTATTTTTTTTTTTAATTTATTCATTGAATTTATTCATTAAAAAAATAATTGGTAAACCAGGTTATATTTGTTGCCAGTAAATGATAAAGCCAATTAATTTCATCAAAAGCATGTTTCATTATTGCAAAGCAAAAATGTTTCCCGCAAATATTTCTACCTCGATTAATTATTGCCTTAAAAATTTTACTTTGATGTTGTATGAGTCATAAAAGATCAATGTGGAATAACAGCACTTTTTACGTGCCAACGATGACTATGCAACGAATTAATATTGCCTTCAATGGATTATAAATAAATGACGAAAACAAAAAAATTTATTCGTTAATCGTCCAGCCAATATTCAGTTCCGTAACAGCTTGGAATCTTATTTCAGCAAAGTTCTTTCTAAAGTTTCTTTCTAAAGTTCTTATGTCACTTTAAAAAGAACTTCAAATTGCTCGAGTGTCTTATTGAACAATATCGCTTCTCAATCAATTGAGTTTCGAGTTGCGAATTGCAATAGTTCGCCAATCATCGCAAGCGTTTAATGCATATTTACGGTCAAGAGATCAAAGTGAGAAACACATCGTAATAGTTATTGTCGATGCAGCAATTTGTATTATCATTTTAAGATTGTCGCAAAGATGATGACAAATTTGCTGAACTAGTGTTTTTTGCAAGTATAGAATACGTGATGACAATATAAAATGAAAATCTCTGATTTTTTCCTTTGTAATTTGTATAGAAAGATTTCCTTCTATTCAATTAAAATACAAGCCTTTATTTAATTAAGATTAAATGAAACTCAAGTAGCGAACGAAAAGAAATAGTCTTCAAATTAATTAATTAACATACAGTTTAATTCAATAATTTACGCTAGCGTTGCGCAAAATAGAATATAGTCTGGCAAAAAAACTTTCATTATTTTCTTATTTCCCTCGTGTTGCAATTGCAATCCGTTAATTAAAAAATAAGTGAAGCTAAAAGCACACACGCGACCTACAATCGAGTCGCGCTTTTTCGTATCTAATAGCGGCTCACCTGTCCTTGAGAGAATTCCGATCGATCAGCTTGGCTCTCGGTATCAATTGATATTTCCTGGGTAAATCGAAGCTCGATTGACCTAGCCGAAAGTGCTGCGCTGCTTCTCGATTTTGTCGCGAATCATCCTCCGATATCACTGCGAGACTTCTCGTACGCTTCAGTAACTTGCTGCGTTCCTGCGTCGACTGTGCCGAGTGGGAATCGTAGCGACTGCCATCTCTGCAATTAAAAAAAAAAAAATACGCAATTGTGCGGTAACGAGTCTAAATGATAGCAAACGCAACAACTATATTTAAAATCATACGCTGTGACAGCTTTCCACTGACGCATGTTTTTTTCCGGATACGTACGCGTATAATCAGCATATTTTACAGACTTGTATCAGTAGATCTTGTGCTCTTCATCAGTTACAGATCCTCGAGGGTGAATTCGAAATTATACTTATCTCAGTAAAAATATTGTGAAAACATAATTAAAAAGTCGTACAACTTCATTTAAAAGTTTTAAAAATCCAGAGACGACTTGGACGAGTGGAGAATTAATTTTTAAATTTCATTGTAAATGAATAACGGAATCTTCGGAATTTCTTTGCAATTTATTTCAATTAATTAAATGCGCCGTCTATATTTAAACGGAATTTTTAGGAGCTTAATTACAAGGGAATGTATATTTAATAGTAAAGATTTATTAAGATGTACGGAGCTATATATAATTTTACGCCGAATGAAATTTCTCTTTAGAAACGATCAATCAAACTTATCAAAATATTCTATATATTATTTAAACATAATATGAATATACACACTTTTATAATTTTTTAAAATCATTAATTCTAATAAAATCATTTTTATAAACTATAAAACGCATGCAATGCATGCACTATATTTAATAGTTCGTCCTACATCGAAGTAGGGCATAAAATGTGACGTAGCTTCAATATCTCGTTAAGTACCTTGAGTGGCTTGGATGAACAGCCAACATTTATCAACGTTGATATATATCGATGCATATTTGTCTCTTCTTTCATCTATCTTATATAGGGTAAGTCATGACACCATGACTTACCCTATATAAGATATCTCGTGCCAATAAATTGTTTGAATGCGAATCGGCGAATTAAAGGAAACCGGAAAATATCTATGTCTTTAAATGCCAGGGAAAAATTCATAATAACATAGCTTCGTAATTACTCTGTGAATAGCGAATAATCACATCTCGTAAAGAGAGCAATATCAAGTGCAAACTCACTACTTAAGCAACTTCTTAAAACGAAATTTACTGGCTCTATTTTCATGCCATATTAAAAAAGAAATTATTGCTTTTTTATCGCACAGAACGAGTTGGCTCACACCGTATAACTCCCGTTATTGTTTTCTTCGCATGAGGTTTCCTTTGATTTACGGCGTCGTGAATGCATTCGTAATGAACGTTAATTAAACATTTTGCAGTTATAAAGCGTTATATTAAATTTCTACTTACGTAGAATTACGTAGTCATTTAAATAAATTGTTGGGACTGGATGCTTTTCATGTAATATTACTCGGGCTTTCAATTATTACTAGAATAAGATTAATAAATCAGTATATCCAATTTCTAGTTGACCAATATAAATTTGAACTGCAGTTATAAAATTTTATCTAATCGGGCATATACGTAATTTTTTATATTTCAAAATTTTTTAGTTTATTTTACAAATATTTTAGAAAATAGAAAGAAAGAAGAGAGAGAAAAGAAATATTTACTTTCTATTACGAAAAAAAATTAGCTACCAAAATTTTAACTGTACATAAATTGCAATCTGAAATTTACTATGCCCAAAATATTAGCCAAAATTTAAGTATGATAACTAAATCTGTAATATAGCTAAATTACATAATGTTACTTCTACGCAAATACATTTTTCTGTGTTGGACGTAATTATTAACTAAAATAAAAATTGAAAAGTTCATGTTCTTCAGCTTTAGTGCTTTTATTATTTCAGCCGAGAAACTAAATTGCCTTGCTCGCCTTGCTCCCATTTATAGTTCCTAGTTCGCGAATTTTTCGTCAGCAAACGTAATTTGCATGCGGAGGTTAGCAAAGCAAAAACTATGCTTCTGTTTGATTAACGTTATCTTTCTTATTCTCTCATGACATCATACATGATTTAGATTTACGAAAAAATATTGAAAATTTGGACATAGTTTGTTTTTCACATTTTGGTCTCTCGACTAGTTATATAAAGTTTATTTGATATAAAGAGGAGAGAATTATTATATCTAATTTGTTTACTTAATATTAATGATTAAATATTCGAAACAAAATATTGTCTATTTATCATTTGTGTCCTTTCAATCAATAGCGAGTAAACCCTTATGCATCATTTGTACGTACGAGTCGTATATCTCGACTATAGATGCCAAAATCAGGAATGCAATTGACGCGTAATTACCTCCTCACTTTGATCTGTATGATCTTTGATCATGCTGAGGAACTATGTTGATGATCAAAGAGCTTTTGCCAGTAAAATGCAGAAACAGGAAATAGTGCGATAATTTTAATACAAGAATAGAATGAAAATGAGTGATGAATATGCATGTATGTCATCGCAATATATTTTATAAATTTTTAAAACTCTTTGATGAATATAGTGATAGCCAATGTACATGTAGTATATCATATGCGGTTTTTTTTTTTTACGTGAACAACCGTGAATACAATGGAAAGGAACGTGTCCTTTCGACTGACTGTTCATTTTAACGAACGCGAATCCTTGAGGTCCGAATGCAAACGGCGTATCGTCTCATTGTGTTCGCCTGAGCATGGCAGTTGGTTACGTAAGATTATCACGAGTTATCTCGGGTAACTTTGCCCGCCGTTTTCAATGCATATATCTGTAGAAAAATTGTTCTCTGGTGCTCATTTTTTCTTGTTTTTTTCTTTTTATGAGATACTTTATTACGTTACGTCCGGTTACGTCTTAAAAAAGAAATACAACTTTTTTATTATTAATATTTTGTAGACATTATTAAGTAAATTTATTAATAGAATAAAATCGAAACATATTTTTAAAAATTTATATTATCCAGATATCATTCAAAACTTTTTATTATGGATTTTATAATGATAATTTTTAATGACAGGATATAAAACGAAACTATATCACATCACTTTAATTAATACTTATAAACTCGTTGATGTTTATATAAAATCCGAAAGTGCGCTGCATCCCACGCTCGCGAAAACCAGAGAAGATCCCGATTGCCCTGATTTCAATTCAGTAAGCAATTAATATTCCTATACCGCATCGATCTGACTTTAGTGAAAATAAGAACATTCACACCGAGTAAGCGTATTTTATCGAGAGTATTCATGAATTATTAAAATATTTCGATTGTAAATTCTCTACAATAGAAAAAGGACCCTTTTTATCTATTATGTAGGCACATTATCTTTTTTCTTTAAAAAATCATAAAATGAAATGTTGGATATAGAAGAGAAACATCTTATATTTTCTTAACTAGAATAAACGATTGGCATAAAATGTTAAGGGGAGAACATAAATATCTCAAACAAATACCTTTATTTTAAACGATATCAATTTTGCAAAAGTAAACTGAATTTTTCTTTGATGTCGAATTTCAGAGACGGAACAATTTCTCTTGTACTACGAAAGACAGCCGCTTTGTCAAGGTTCTAGAACACGCGCTATATCGCACGATATACCTTACAAGAAAGATCAAAATCTTTCGTTTTGATATGCGTGTAAGCATTACGACGTTATTGCACATCGAGCGGTTTGTCTTGGGCGCAAGAGCAGCGATAGAATTAAAATCAGTCGCGATTTCCGGTCAATAGATCGACGCTGCACCTGCATTCGGGCTGCACGGCATAAAGAAAAGATACTTTTGCACGTAGCGAAACGCGATGGGAATATTCTACGTGACCGAACCGGAAGAAGTTCCGCAGCGTGAACAGTCGATGGTTGACATCCGACCAACGACAAAGTCAGTTGTCTCCGCAAGACTTCATGGGTTGAAATGCAATTACTTGCGACATTCATAAGATGCATTTATATAATAAAGATATAATCTCGCGTTTCAAGAGACTCTTATGTCAAATAATTAATTAAAATAATTTATGACACAAATGATATAAATGCAATATTTTTTTGCGTTTTTTTTTTTATTTTGTTACTCTATAAATAAATTAGAGACGATCTAAAATGACATATTTTTAACTAAAACTAATATATATTTAAATATTTGATATATTTAAACTAAAAACTACTTTTTTTATTTAAAACGGGATGAATATAAAATTATATAAAGTTTTTCAAAATATATATATAAAAATTCCTTAAAAATTATCAACTATTGCACAATTTTTTATATAAATTTTAAAGAAATAAAATTATCTTTTTATCTTCGATACAATATATTCATTTGATCTTTCTTTTTATTATTATATTGACCGGAAAAAGTCGCGTCGAAGTAAATATGCCCTCGTTTTCCGATTATTCAGCATCAGTAACGAAATTGTGAACTCTCCGGAAAGCAATAAGAGAAAATCATGTAACTGATTGTACCGGAGATAGGAGAAATAAATCTGAGATGTCAGTGTGTTTATGGACAGGACAGCTTGAATGAGTCACCGTATAACTCTTTTTTATCGTTCGCTAAATAAGAAATGTTACCTTGATCCTCAACTCGTGCTTCGACGACTTTAATGTTTGTTGACGAAAAAACAATGATTATGCAATTCTAAATGTCATAAACAAAATTCATTCCATGACTAATACTATGTTTAATTCATTAAAATAAGAGTCAAGATTAAGTGACCAAAAACACAAGATGTAGAATTTTTACTTTTAGTTAACGCATAGATTTTATTCAAACAGAAATCTCTTTTCAAGATACACCGTACTATTGTATTAAAAATATGATTAAAAAGACATTGCTGTGCTATATTAAAAATTACCAGATAACTCCATTGCAAAAATGGATCACTACATCATCTATTTATATTTTTTTCTCCGAGCACGTCGCACAATAGTCTGTACTTGACACATTTGCCATGAAAGACACTTGATCAACTCACGCGATGTATAACATTAGATAAATTAATTCAGATAACTCACGGTTTTTCCAAATGACCCTTAAACAGTCGACAACAATGAGGATGAAGTCGTAACTGTAACGCTATAGCTAGCACTGATCTGTCGATAACGACCTTTATTG